TCAATACTACAATATTATATAATAATAAAATCATAGACTAGACACATAACCTAGATCAGATAAACCAAATAATATAAATATATATATATATATATATATATATATATATTATTGTTATTGTTCTATTTGACAGACACATACAACTAATTCAAGCAGACCGCTTAACTACAACTGTCAACTAGTAGGGAATCAGTGTTGTTGTCAGGTACGGACTTAGGATTCGAATATCTAATTCACAAGACACAATTTGATGATTGTACTCCGCATACACTTGCGCACGACATCACATTATCGAAGGTCTATGTATAATCTGTCCCGGTCCCCGGGGCGCTATCTCACATGGTCGTCGCGATAGTACAAGGTTAGTGCATTTACGTTGTGCACATAGAGTTTCGTGTGTTGAAGAATGCCTTCGTAATCATACTCAATAAGACAAGCACAAGAATTTTGGCGGAAACCGGCCGGGCGGCCATATCGTCTATACACGCGCGCTCAAGCGCTCCCGCTCCCCCGGTCCGCTGGCGGACGGCGGTCACCGCCGACACGCTCATTTTTGCCGTTCGTACACGTCTCCCCGAGAACCCGCCGTCTTCACCTCAACTACTCGAGTCGAACGACAAAGGTGTATTAATTATATTGTGTGACAACGACACGACGATAATAAATAATAATATTAATATACTCACGTAAAATCCGGGGCAGCAGCAATGGCGTGCAATCGCGTAATCGGGCACACGTTATAAAAGTATGTAATAATAATAATATTTATTATTATTATTAAAGTATTATAACTACAAAACACACACACGTAATTAAGTTTAAAAAAAATTCAAATAATAAAAAAAACAAAAATAACTAAGACACCGAGGAACGTAGCAGATTTCACTTGACTTTTTGGACTGCAAATTTACTTACACTAACCTAGTAACCTGTAAACTTGGCCATAGGAGCCGCCTGCGAGTGTTGTCCGATACCCCGATTGCAGGCGGCCAATCAACACCAGGCTCATCACAAATATCATGGCGTAGAAAATGGCAGTAGTCTGTTCGAATCGAGATGCCGCTCAGTTATTACTTAATGCTTATTAATATCATAAATCATTCTACTAAATTGATATAAACTACCATCGATAGCTTTTTCTGCTGTTGCATTTTACTGACATTCTCCTTCAATCTACCTTATTTTCCCACTTTTTTCCGTGAAAACTTGCAGTTTTCCCGAAGCGCGAACGTCACGCCCGTGACGGTTTCGGCACTGACCATGGACTGTTGGTCGTCTCTTCCATGGATTAGTGTTAGTCGGTCACGGAATAGTGGGGATATTTCAGCGGGCTGCTGGTGGATGTCGGATATTCGGGCTCTCCCGTTCCTGGCGTGGACTGTAAACACTAATTGCACTATAATACTATAATATACTATATAGACGTCTAGGCCGTAGAGCACAGGCCACGACATCGTCAAATACTCAATAATTGTTTTTGTAATTTGTATAATATATCAATGATGTAGTCTGGGGTGGCTGCAGTGGGAGGGGGGCCTAGGGCCCCCCCCCCAAGCCCGTATTTTGTTAAAAAAAAAACTACAAACAAAAAAAGCATATTATAATATCAGCTATCATATTATGACATACACAAGTATGTAAATAGAGGTATGACGATGTGTACGATGTACCTGCTATCTACATTATGAAGAACCTTTATTATTATAAAAATGTGTGTTTTCTTTTTATTATACTATTTGTTAAGTTTTGTGAAATTTTAACTTCCCCCTCCCTCCTCAACCAAGGCTCCGGAGCCGCCCCTGAATGTAGTGTAGTAGAAACTTCAAAAGTGTGAAAGATAGAGAAAAGTTTGTCATAGAACTATAGAAGAAGATTAAGTTACGTTGTTCGATGGAAAATTAATAAATTTCGATCATCATCATCCTCGTCGGATATTTGTAATTATAGACTATAAAACGTATACGACATTACGACTATAATGTTTAGTGCATATTTATATGGTATCAAGATAAAAAATGTTTCAAAAAAAAGTATTAACTGATAATTATTATATGGGTTGATATACCGGTAGGTACTACTGTAATAAGTACAATGAATTTATGTGCAATATAACCCTGCATAATTATATAAGAGTTTCTACAGCTATTAGCAATTAGCTGATAACTTATAGCTGATACTCTGATAGTCTGATAGCTTATTATTTTGGAACATTAGTACTTATTACAAGACACCCTTTTTTGAGAGGGAATTGACATTCTTTAGGTGAATAAATGTTGATGAAATTGAAATTTGGGACACTAAGTTATTTTTGAGTTATGGCTAATCGAAGTTTTCACTTAATATTTAGCCCTTAAAAACCCATTTTGCTACAATATTAGTCTAATGAATCGTTGCGCAATGGTGAATGCATGTTCGTCTGTAATTTTTTTTTTTGGTAAATGATAATTTCAATAATTCTTATTTAGCTTCCAAATGAATTTTTCAAATCATGCATTTTAACGACTTTTTTTGAGGATTATTATTTTTTACGTATATTAAAAAGCATATATATTCGAACGTGGTCACTCGCTCACTTCGATATTAAAATCGAAAATATCCCTAGACTTGTTCACTGTTGTGTAAGACCACCTCAAGTAGGTCGAGGACACCACTGGGCCACGATGGTCCACCGGGAACTATGACATTGTAAAGTTATTTAACATATTATATATACTAACTTCGGAACTGTGTCTGTGTCCTAAATTCTGATTTCATTATCGCTTTTAGTGTACTTAACAACATAAGTTACAAAATAAAAATTGCAAAAAAAATAACGTCTCGTAAAATAAAAATATACCATTATTTTTATGAGATAATAGATGAGTAATTATGATATAGGTACCTAGGAAAACAAATGTACTTAGGAATTACCTACATAACTACATAAGTATATGAATGTATGATTTAAGGGCATAACTATATGGCAGAGAATGAAGACTCTCCCAGAATTTTTTGAAGCCATATACTGTCCTCATATTTTATTTTGCTAATTTTCTTACAACAAATGTCCAATCTCAATTTCTACAAAACAAATATTGTATAGCAATATTATATACCACTCGTAGTAACTATTATTTAGGTGAACTTTTTTTCCGAGTATAATATAAAATAATTGTTTTCAATATTCACATACATCTTTCGGAACCCTTGATTTTGTCCCACGGAACACCCTTTGGGAATCGCTGGCCTAGACATTAGGCATTAGGCAATACATGTAAATTGTTAATAGTAATAACTTCTTACTATAATTTAAGAAGTCAAAATGAGTAGGTAATATTTACAATTGGCTAATTCGTATTAGAAATTCATAAAACGTGTCTTAGTACATCTAAGATTTGAAACTTTTATACAAGATTAAGCTTTCTTACATTTAACAATAAAAAAAGTTTACCGGAAAGACAAATTCATTATTCATAAGTGAATTCCCAAGAGAGCCAACACTTCGAAAGGCACATGGAAAATGTATAGTGGGCCTTCAGCTGCCCCGATATATTCGATCATTCTACGCCAATGCTATAGCATATATATAAATATAGTGGCTTTTTGTAATACTATATTGTTGCTAATTTTTGAGAGTGTGATATTGATTGAGCAATTATTTTTGGTAGTATTGTGTTTAAACGATTTTAGCCACCAACTAAAAATCCCACATGGCGCCTATGAGTAACATAATAATAAAAAATATAGCCATGCGGTAGCTAGTGTGGCGTGTGACCTTATGTATTAGTAAATCCGTTTTGTGGGAGGGGATTTGTGGAAAATGAAACCGAACCTCTATAGATAAAATATTTTAGATTTGACTCCAGCATTAACCCCCCCGTGGAGGTAGACGTCAGTAGAGCACTAGACAATATAAGCCAAGTTTAATTATGATATTAAGTTCATTTGGAACAAAAAAAGATGCTTCATTCTATAACTTCGATAGCGTTATGTTGTAAAAATTGGATTCAGAAGATACCTACTGAAAACTTGCAATTTTTTTCGTAGTTTCCTATGTATTTATATTTTATACCAAACTTTTTAACATTCATAGGTACCCATATCTTTAAGACAGTGGTGTCGTGACCTGCAAAATCCTTACTACGTCGTAGTACCTCCGCTGAGAGGCTTCTGCAGTCTGTCTAATCTGTCTTTTTATTTTTATTTATTTTATCTTATATTTACCATCCATTGTTCTTATTGTTCTTTTTTTTATGTAACAGATCGAATAAAAAATTTGTGAACTTAAAAAAAAAAATACCTAAAACTTATTAGGTCTGACAATCGAACTCAAAGTTCCTCATAGTCAGTAGTTATTTTTACATCTAAATTTAAAACTAAACATTTTATTTTATATTATAATATTAAGAACCATTTTTTATTTAAATCGACGAAATTAAATAATATTAGTTTTAGTTTATTAATTGTATTATAAGCTATCGTGTCTTATTGCCTAAACAAGTAACAAAAATCAAACAATAAACCAAACGATTAATTCTCATTTCTCAGTCTCAAAATTAATTATTACCTATTTTTAAATTTATTAATAAAAATTACGAAGGTATGATTGTTCATTGTATTAAGTACTTAGGTATATTTAATTGTGAATCAAGTCGATGTATGTGGTCATGAAAATAGACCTATGGGCTATGAGTGATCTATGGAAGATATATAAATTGATATAACTAACTTAGTAATTACTAATTAGGCGTTTGGTCAACACTAGAACCACGATTAAAGATGTAATTATTGTAATTATATCTTTAAATTTTAATCGTGACTAGAACTGATGAAATTTAATCTTTTCTATAGTTTGGTACCTACCACGGATATAGATACTAGTATCTATATCCGTGGTACCTACATTATAAACTTTTCAGTTTTTATCACGTTTTATCACATTTTTATTTAAGTTTCCAATATTTGGCAACACCGTGCATCACATTGAGAACTTTTCAGTTTAATTTTGATAAGCATTTTCATACATATTTTCATTTAATTTTAATATTTTATCAATTCTCATCAATGTCAGCTCTCAGTCGAAAGTTACTACATTTTGTGTCTTTAGTACAAATAAGCAATATATCTAAGTCAAGTTATCGAATAAGTAGTTATAATTCTACTAGATTTTCAGGTCCTAGATTCAAAATGTCCGAAGTGGAGAAATCTGCAATCGCTACACCTGGTGGTGATACAATTTTTGGTAAAATTGTTAGGAAGGAAATACCATGTAATTTCATATACGAAGACGATCTTGTAAGTGTAACTTATGAAGTAGTAATGATGAAATTGTGTATTTGATAAATTTAAAACATTGACTATATATTTATATGGCTATTGGCTGTATGTATAGGTATTTACTACTTATGCATTTTGTACACGTCTACCGAGGTGGATAGGCCTATGAAGACTATTTTTCATGGCTTAAAGAGGCACTGTTTTTTTAAAAGTATTATCATTAAAAATTGTCCATCATTTATTATTTTTGATACTTAAAATTTATTTTTTTAAATATCGTTTTTCACAACAAAATATGTTTTTGTGAGTAGTTTTTGCTTTAAAGAATAAGTCTTGTGAGCAACTATGAGATGTAACATGTGTGTTATTTTCATGCTTAGACTTAAACATTTTCCTATATCAATAAAAATGCATATCCATCAACATGTCAAATAGAAGTTCACAAAATGTTGCTGCCAATAATAGTAGGCAGAAAAAAATCCATGCAAGTGAAATACAATTGTACTATTTTATAGTTTTAAAATATTTTGTTGATTATATTTCAAAAAACCATAATATAATAATACTTAATAGTAAATAATATAGATAACAAATTATGAATGAAAAAAAAAATATAGTAGGTCTGTTGGTGTGTATCCATTTCCCTTGTATTAAACATGAGCAACAAACTAATATTTTAAGTAGTACTACCAGGTTTATGTTGACTTATATTATTATTTTTGTAGTTGAGTAATTTTTGTATAAATGTAATGTATACCTAAAACTGATGTTTTTTTACTGTAGATTCTAAATCATATCATTAACTTACTATCCAATGATTCAACATATAACAATTTATAAATATAAATTATATCTTATAGCACAATATATCATGTATACATGTGTTCCTATTTATATGGCATTTTGTTTTATGTATATTATAATTTTACTATTTTTATTAGTGTGTTGCATTTCATGACATCAATGCTCAAGCACCTGTTCATTTTTTGGTGATACCAAAGAAACCGATTGAAATGTTATCTGCCGCTGAAAGCTCTGATGAAACGGTATTTTACTTTGATAATTAAAACATATATTATTATGCTCTATCTCCTTTAATTATTGTATTCATCTGATTGTGTAGGTAAAAAAAAATTACAAAACTGCCTCCATAAATATATTAAAATAATGCTGAAAATTATTTTTGATTTCAGTTACTTGGACACTTAATGTTGGTTGCTAGCAAAGTAGCAAAAGAACAAGGATTGAATGATGGTTTCCGTTTGGTAGTTAATAATGGAAAGGATGGAGCTCAATCGGTTTATCATTTACATTTGCATGTCCTTGGTGGTCGCCAACTAGGATGGCCACCTGGCTAATTGTTATTAATGCTCAATTTAATATTTATCCAAACTGTCAATATGTATATGCAAATTATTTAGTTTGACAAAATGTCATATTTAATTATTTTTTTGCATTTTTAATAATACAATGAAAGATAAATATTTAAAATATAGGTGTTACATTTAAACAAATCCTTATTCAATTTTACATAAATACTCCGATTTGTAACATAAATATGTTTTTGGTCTGCATACATGATAAAATGTTTCCAACTGATTTATCAAACATTTTTCTTGGTCATAATGTCATGGTTACTTATTGACAAAGACATATTTTTGATTCATAGATTTTCCTTATAGAGAAAAATATTGAGTGACCTGTTATGGTTTTTTTGTTTAGATTTCATCTAATGTTAATACAACCCAATAAAAACCCATTACAACTACGCCAATAGCTTACACTTTTTTTATTATAAATTATGATATTGAATGGCCTAACGTTTGAATGGCCTTTAAATATTTCCACTTAATTATTGTCTGATGCCTACTTGGGGGGAGGTCATATGATAAATAGACGAATTATATCATGAAAAGAGACTTCACAGGAAAAATGCTCTTGTCCTGTAGTTTTAGTCGAATTTCATTTATTTTTTTTGTATTTAAAAAAAGAAAACCAGCTCCAACTCTCTTTATCGGACACTTTTAAAAATGGCAGACCCACTATCAATTTTTTTATGATTACCTTTTTTTTTTTATAAAATTCCATGTTATCATAATCAATATTTTATAACTTATTTAATATTATAACCACGAAAATAGGTACATAAAATCATACACATCATTTTTTATTAAAATTTAGTAATATGAGTGTCCGCAGACTCAAATGAAGGGAGGACGGACCACAGTTAACCTAAGAACTGCTGGACCTAAAACGTCAACACCAGTAGTTGTTAACCAATATAACCCCGTTTATAATATTAGCAAATAATTACATAAATTGAATATAATATTAAATAGTATACTGAAATATTTTATGTAGTAGCAAATAAATATAACAGAGACTTAACAAATTGCACAATTTCTGATCCTCCTAATTTAGACTCCCCATAAACTCTGTCTACAAAAGTTATTGGAACTTCACCAATAGTATAATTTAGTTGCCTTGCACGTACCATCATCTCCATTTGGAAAACATATCCTTTTGATATACATGATTCTATCAATTTTTCCAAAACTGGCTTTTTATATAATCTGTAAACAAAATACAAATATGGTATATTACCACCAGATTGTTAAAGCATTTGTTACTAAGATTTGATTTTATACAAAAAAAAAAAAATACCTAAAACTACCAGTGAGATCAGATACTTTGGGCCTCAACAATATTTGGCTGACAAAATTAGCACCACGACTAACTAACTTTCTTTTAAAATCCCAACCGGAAACTCCTCCATTGCCAATATATCGTGATCCAGTAACAACATCATAATCTTGTTCAGATTGTTTTTTTATAAAATCCAGTATAAATTTTGGCTAAAAAAATGAAGGTATAATTAAATATAAATAAGTAATAATAGTAATACATTTTAACTTACATGATGTGACAAATCAGCATCCATTATAATGATAAAATCCCCAGTTGCATGTTTCAATCCATGAATATATGCAGTGCCTAATCCAAGTTTTTTCCCTCTGGGTCTTAATAACTTAACAAAATGTATGATAAATTAGGATTTATAAATATATTTATTTATGTCTTACAATTTTATCTTTTCCATAAATGGTTTCGAGTTGTTTGGCTACTTCTAAAGTTCCATCTGGACTGCCATCGTCTATTATAATTATTTCATATTCTATCTCACTGTAACCAATTGTATCATAAGTATAGTCATTATATTTTAATACAAATAATTTTCTGCAGTATTTTAGAAATTAATATAAAAATTTTGAACACACAAACTGCTATTGGCACGTCAAGAGATATGCAACAATGACTTAAATCGAAATAGGGAAACCCAGGATTTTTTGAACAAAACCAGTTTTGAACTAAATCAATACTGTGATAGATCGGCATAATCTACGAGGGGAGGGGGGATTGACCCTTCAGATATTTAACTGACGGAGCAATAGTCTTTTTTACCTTATAGATTTTGGATTAATTTTAAGTTATTATTTGTACTATATTTTCTAGAAAAATATAAGATCTAAGCCTACATCTAGTTTAGGTACTATACTTCTATAGATAACTATATTAGTTTATTTTATTTTATAATACATAATATACAACCAACTCCTAAAGTAACTGAATGAATAACAATTTTCAAACACAGAAGAAGTACATCATGATGAGTAATTGTCATCTCCGAGTAAAAAATAATTAATATTAGATAATATCAAATGTAATGTTTGATTAAATTATAACTAAAATAGATATTATAATCATATAATTAAATGTATAGATCAACATTTATTAGTTATAATAGTATCTGATTTTACATGTTATAAATAAATAAAATGTATTACCTAATTTCCAAGTATTTGTGGATAAGATAAACAATAACGGGTAAATTTTCTTTTTCATTATACGTCGGTAGTAAAATTGAATATTTAAGTGGCATCTTAAATATGATTATTAAATTATAGTCAAAACATAAAAATTCATAAATTTTGTCATGCCATGTATGATGTACACACTACATAACTATAGAAAAGATTAAACCGTGGAAAATTGATAATTTGATAATGTTATGATATCACCACAGAATTATTCTGTGATATCACCACCACGGTCTTAGAAGATAAGGATTTACGAGCGGTTTGACAATTTATATCTAGCAGTGATGTAGGCTATCTTTACGAAAAAATACAATAATCTAAATATCTTACTTTGCTGGCTGCTATCCCGCACTACCATTCTTGTGATTAAAAGAGTAGTTGAAAAGCTCTCTATGTTGTTCAACTCACCATTTTCCATACATTCAAAATCTAAGATCGTGCTAAGCAAGCCTAGCTTGTCTAGTAGGAATTAAGAAATACTTCTCTGTCTGGGTGTCAAAAATTTTAAGTGCAGGCGTGCTACGAGCAGTGGCCAAAAAATACAATTAACATTATAATTCTTCCCACATGAGACATCCTGCGTTCCAGCGTCTCACAAATTATTAATTAATCAATAACTGCAACTGAATACTGATACTTTTGTAGTTTTGTTATCAGTAATTTTAATTTTTCAACGAGTGAAGACTGAAGACAACCAAGAATTGAAGACTAAAAATATTAAAATGTGACATGTCACATGTCAACTTATGGACCAAAGACTTTTGACTGTTGTAACTTGTAGTAATATACTATTATAGTTATAATTGTATACCACCTGCTGAAGTTGCATTAACAAGTGATCTTTTTTTGGCTACTGCCCCTCATCAGTGATTAATATTTAATAGTCATTAATAAGTAACCTTTCAAAAATTGATTGTTGCATTATATTATAGTAATATAGTTACTACCTTATTTAATACAAAGTGATAAAGAACATAAATATTTAACAGAATTGCAATTTATACTTTATAGTGTACTAGTTTTAATCTTTGTTTCTTCTGTACCACAATGTTTTTCTGTTGACAATAGTTTTAATTTTTTTCCAAAACAAAATGTCTTTAAAAAGTGTTCTAAAAAAGAAATTTAAAATAAAAAATCCAATTGTTGCAATGAAGAAAAAAAAGAATAAATCCAAGCATGTTACTCCGTCAGCAGACACTTACATTAAAACTGATGCAGATGATATTTGCAAAGAACCTTCCATAACTGACAAAGAGCAAAACCAACACACAGCTCCTGAAAATCTATTTATTGGGGAGAATGGTGATGAAAAAAATATGAATAATGATGAGTCAATAAAGTCAACCACTGAAATAAAACGTAATAAGAAAAAACGCAAATCTACAGATAATGATAAAAGTCTTGAATATGAAGTACCTATAAAGAAGAGAGTAACTTTTGCAGCTGATGTAAAAAGTGAAAAAGATGATCAGAAAAGTAGTGCTAGCAATTTGAAACTCATTAGCTTAAACAAACGAAAAAAATTGAATTATATAAAGAAGCTGAAGTCAAAAAAAAATAAACAAAAAAATGCAAAAAAATGTGAAGAAAATGCTACTGCTATTAGTACACCCAGACAAGAACGAGCCGTGGAGTATTTGATGCAATGGAAAAATGACCGTACAAATTGGAAGTTCAAAAAAATTTATCAACTTTGGTTGATTAAAAACACTTATGACCACCTGAAGGCAAGTATTATATCATTTATATTATTCATGAATAAATTCTTCATATATTTGGAGTACAACTCTGTTATTAGCAAAAAATATATTATCATCTTTGTTTTATCTTTTTCCATCATGATGTAAAAGTATTAAGTTTGAATACCAAAGTTAAATAATAAAATAACATTTTTATTCTAGGTATCTAAAGAACATTTTGACACTTTAGTAGAATACCTTCAAACTATCGAAGGTAAGAGTCGCAGTATAATTCTTCAAAACGCTAATACAGTTGTCTCAGAATTTTCATCTTCCAATGAAGGGCAACAGGAATTAAATTCATCGCAAGAAGTTAAATATCAACGAGCAAGGACCATTATTCAAATGTTTGACTGATACATTTAATCATATTTATTTTTTTTGAATAAACAACATTAAAACCATAAATCTAACTGATTCCAATTACCTATATAACACAATTTCATAAATTAAATATATTATTTTTTTTCTATTGTTGGCTCAGTTAACTTAGAAATAAAATGTTTAAGTTTATCTTCATCTTGTAGTCCAATCATTTTTCCTTGAACTTTGCCATCTTTCATTAATACCAGTTCTGGTACAACAGATACCTAAAAAAACATTTCATTGATTTAAAATAATGTTACACTAGTTTAAATGTTTTTGAATAAATATTTCTTTTACGACGTTTGTATATCTTTATTAATGTATTTCAGGATAATAGTTTAGTTACAGAAATAAACTGTTAGGTTATTTAAATTAAACTGTTAGTTAACAAGCATAATAAAGTAAGTAAATGAGAGTATTGTTCAAGATGTAACAATACATTATATTAGGATGTTTAGGGTTCAGCTCTTCAATTAAGAGTCAATTGTAAATAATAAGCTTTTAAATTATTTGACTTTGATTTTTAAGAGATGATAAAAATAAAAAAATCTTTGAGTATGTTAGCTTATAGTTAATCAAGTTATAATATATAAGATATTATATGTAGATAATCTTTCTTAGGATTTTTATGCAAAAAATGTATTTCAAATAAATGGTTCCTTATAACTTATTATTAAAAATTGAGGGTTTAGATGGGTAGAGTGAATAGTTCGTAAAATTACCCAGGGCCAGAAATCCAGTCAACAAAAATGTAAAATAATTCCAAGTAATAAGTTACAACCTATTAAAAACTTACTAATTGTTTGTAATTCAATTTCAAATAACATAGGTATACTTTTATAAGATTATGATTTTAAAAAAAAAATGTAGTATTTTTGATACAAGGAGTTAACTAATTTTTTTTTTATTTTAACAATAATTTTTTTTGCTAATAAAATAATCACTCTGTAGTCTTTATGATATTGAACTTACACCATATTCCATGGCAATTTCAGCATTGTCATCAATATCAACTTTGGCAAGATGAATTGAACCGTTATGTTCTTCTATTATTTTTTCCACTCGAGGAAGTAACGTTTTACATGGTCCACACCATCTAAAAGATTTTAAAAAAAATTACCATTTTAATACAGTTATTTAAAATATATAGTAGTCATATTAAAATTATTTAAATTGATTATATGACATTTAGAATATTAAAAAAAAAATTGAGAGTAGATACAAAACAAACGTATTATTTATAATGATTTTTTTTTAACTTAGCTCTATTTACAATCAAGTGTGTCATTTTAATTTTTCAAATAATTTTATAAGGAAATGACTACACTCATACGAAAATTAATAACAATTATAAAATAACTGTAGCAAATTAATATGTATTTTAAAAAAATATTATTTTTTATTGCAGACAAAACAAATGACATTGTTACATTTACATAATATTTAAATGCATTAAAAAAATTCTAACTAATATATTTAGAAGTAAGTTTTTACTATTTATAAGTGAAAAAAATATTTACATACGTAGCAAAAAAATCTATCACCACAGGCTCTTTACTATTCAGTACTTGTTTATTAAAGTCTTCTTGATCTTGAATTTTAATTATTCTGTGTCTAGCTATAATGAGAAAAAATTAAATAATATTAATAACTATTAATTTTTTGGAATAATTAATTTTGGCAATGGAAAAGAATAAAATAAATATACACTAAACAAAAAAATATAAATCAATGTCTAATGACTATTATTAATATATAATATATTTATATTATTTATTGGACCATCCCATTTGTTCAGGCATTGAGGAAATATTCTACTCTAATAACATAATATTACTTGTGGTTGTCCTGAATGTTCTTGTAATGATTTTTGTAAGCGACATATTTTTGGCGATGTTTAAAAACATGGTTAAATTTTTATGTATACTAAAATATTAAAGTTATTACACTAATGAAAACTTAAAAATGCTGTTTCTTATAGTTTCGATTTTCAGTAGGTACAAAATAAGTAATACCTATCTTGTATCTATAGTACCTGAGCCTAAGTACCAACTATGTACGAAATACGAATTACGATCTATGAGTACCAAGTTATGAGAAATGAGAATTATCATTCCGCCACTACAACTCCGATATAATTATGGTATCTATTATGTGATAATACCATGATAATACCATGATACCGCATATGATTTATATAAGCAAACATGGTATGATCTGAACATTTTGACGGCCGGATCCTTCGGTATTGACGTATGCAGTGGTTGAAGTGGGGGGGGTTACGGAGGGATGACATCCCTCTACTTTTTTCATCCCTCTACTTATTTTGTCTAGAATAACGCATTCCTCCTAAGACTTGTGTTAAAATGAAATAATTATTATGATTTTTATATTTATACCTATGTATAAGAAAACTTTTTATTTTTCGTTTAGGCCTAAATCTGAATTGTAAGGCATCCCTCCACTTATCTTGAGCCATTTCGACCACTGGACGTATGACATGATTGTGTATAGATGTATAGTAATAAAATAAATGGGTAAGCAGGTGACGTATTGCGCGGACTGACACCAGGACTTATACGATCATACCATGTTGTATATCATTGATATTACGTATTAATATCACAGAATCTATACTGTGATATTAGTATATTACCATTGATTATAAATAAACTTATAATCAACGATATTACATAATTAACGGGTGTACAGTAAGTTATACCTGGTGTACGTCCTACTTAACACGATTGTCGATCGTATAATATTACAATATTTGGTTACACACTTATACCTGATACCTATCATTCAACCTAGGATTGACCAATACGACAATACCCACTGCTGTTGTTACATAATTACATAATATTATCATGAGTAAATTGTTCTGAGGTCTAGACTTCTAGAGATGGGACTTATCGTTCGCTCGGGTGAATAGTTCAATGGAAATAGGTCGTTCGCGAACGACCCATCTCTGTTCTGAACCTCCAAAAAGAGTAATCAACATTAAAAGACAAATTGAATAAATAAATGTATACAAAAATTAAATAAAATAATTACATTTTGAACACAGTAATGTTGGTCATACGCATATTATAGAAACAGAATATATGAAATATGTGGTCATACAATTACAGTATTTAAAGTAAAAAGTTTACTCAACGGTTCTATCTTAACCAAAGAAAGGTTTTAATGGAATTTCCCTCAGAAATGCCAATTCGAATGTCATAAATTGAACAAAAATAACATGGCGTTTTAGGGATACCTACACTACATAATATCACTACTAAAAAAATATGTTAAAATTGTTCGGTTCATAGGCACAGTATAAGTTTTTGACTTTGAGGGACCTTACATATATTTAAATGAAAAAAACTCAGAGAGGGGGGGGCTCAAACACCTTTAAAATATATTTCTTTATGAAATATAATGTACCACAATTGACATAATTCATAATATACTTATATACATTTAATAGTCCAATACTGAAATTTTTATTTACTTTATTGACATTTATGGAAAAAAAATGGCAAAAAATGAAAATTGAAAATGTCCACCAACAGCTTAAAACGAGTCAACATTTTGAAAATTTTAACAAGTATATGAAGTGATGAAATAAACATTTGGTGTACATTTTAAGTGCATGTTTACAATTGTAATTATTATTTACATTTGTAATTTGTTTTTGAGTTACAACAAAATAAGAAATTCTCTACAAAAGAAATCGATTGAATATACAATATTGTAAAAATTTGAACTTAAAACTCTCATAAAAATTTAATTTGACTTTCCGGTAGAAATTTTTTTTATTTTGATAAAGGTAGAGAAACTTGGTCCTCTTTTTATCTTGTATACAATTTTCGATTTTAGAGGTAAAGAGAACATTTTTTATGAATTTCTGACTAAATAAAATTTGTTAATTTTCGTGATTTTTACGAATTTTGTCAAAATTCTAAACTTAAACACTCATAAAAAATTTATACTCAACTTTTTTTTGAATTTCTATAAACAACAACTTACTACGAACCTTTTATTACATTCACAGTGTTTTTTGACTAAGCGAACAATTTTTTATCGACTTTAGTTTAAAAAAAACGAATAATAATAGAACATTTTATATGCCTATAAGTAGTTCAACACAAATCAAAATATTAAACATTTTATGGTGTATGGAAAATGCTTACACAAATATTGAAAAGTGTATGCATCTACTGCCATTTTAGTTCGAGTAAAAACAAAAATCGACTTTTGCAAAAACTGGTTTTGCGTGAAAGTTCCCGTTTTTCCTGTTGCTTTTGAAAACTATTGGCAATTTTAAATTTGACCTTCCGAATGTACCAACTAAATTCACTTTCCTACCAGAAAAGTTGCTGTTGAAGAAAATCGAAGAACTTTTACTGCAAGAAACCATGATGACAGACACAAAAAAATATGAATGAATAAATTAAATATCTTAATATAAAAACCCACATCATTGTAAAATCGATAAATTCATCACTCCGCTCAGAATCTATGTTATCGAGTATCCTTTACCTACACTGTAGGTTAAATCTCGTAGGAATATCTTAAACTGTGGTATAAATAAATCGAAACGTTATCACGTATCAGTATTATCATTGAGTACCTATATCTATATTCAATGTAATATGTATTATATTAAGCAATTAATTAGCATAGACCTTAACTAAATTGTCTAAATTACTAATTAGTGTAAGGTCATTATGGTCTATAATGACTTATTTCAAATTTGTAATACTATAAAAAAATTTATTATGTTCTGCGGTTGGACCCGATATCTACAATGGAAGACACACTAATAATAAATCGTTGCTTTAACTTCACAAAAAATAATTACTTCAAACAACGTTAACTGAATTATGTAGATTAGATAGGTAACTAATGAAGGATTTAATACTTCATTTAAATTATCATAAACCCATCAAAAAGTCAAGCGGTATTTTTTTCCCTACGCAGAACACAAACACCTCAACCAGTAAAGTTTGACAACGAGCCAATAGGTTGGAAATCGTCGGTAAAATACTTAGGCGTTATCCTCGATAAGAAACTAAACTGGTGGCCTCATATATCGGCTAAACTTCAGCAAGCATACCAACGACTAGGGGTTCTTTACCCAATACTAAATAGAAAATCAACTATTAGTAAAAAATGTTCTCTTATTATATATAAGCAAGTACTGAGACCGTTAATATTATACGCAAGTCCTATATGGAGCAGCTGTGCCAATAGCCACTTAAATAAAATTCAAATTTTTCAAAACAAAATACTCCGCATAATAACTGATGCACCCTGTTTCGTACGTAACAAAGCCCTGCATAAGGACTTAAACATCCCTACTATTGACGAGCACTTAAATCATCTAGCAAATAGATTCTTTCATTCTCTTACGAAATCAAATGGCGCCGCCCACTACAACTTAGTCGAAAGACCACCAAAAATTCGCCGTCTCAAGAGAGGAAGACCCCACGACCGAATCAAATGACCTACCACCAATCCCGACATATCGTATACATCAAGCCAGAAAAATTCTAGATTTAACCTATACTTAATACTAATATTGTATCTTATTAATATTTATTGTTTAATAATATCTTCAACTTAATTTTAGCACTTTTATCGCACTTATGTAAAAAGAAAATTGTATGTACATTATCAATAGGCTTAGATAGCTTTTCCAGCTAGGAATTTCTAAAAAAAAAAAAAAAAAAAAAAAAAAAAAAAAATACTTCATTTAAAATACCAATTTTTGGAGTCATGCCCAAATTGCGCTTATGGAGTGTGGGCTATGACGTATAGAAAATGCTAATTTAAACATGTAAGAATAATCTTAAAATTGCTTGTATAAATATTTTTATTTTTTAGAGTTGCACCAAATATCAAAATCGATTTCGTAGAAAACTGAATTTACATAAAAATGATTGCCTATATCGTGGTTTAGCGATAAAGGAAGGCAGTTCCAAGCGGTTTTACCTCCTTTTTACGGCACTAGCGCTCTTGCTATCGAAGAGTGGCAAAACCACGAACTCTGATAAAATGTTATATATATAAATATATAAATGTTATATTAGCGCTAGTGTAGCAAAAAGTTGAAAAAATCACCACCCAATTCTCCACCCCTTTTGGGGCAACGTCAACAAATAACAGTTCACCCTGGGAAAACAGATAAACAAAACGCGCCCCGGTGAAGATAATTTCTGCCGTTCGATGTGGGATGTTTAGTTGTAATTTTATTATTTATAATAAATTAATTTTGTTATAGAAACTTTATACTCTGACATAGGTAACTGTATATTCTGGTAAGTACAAATTTCACTCATATTATCAAATATATTCCAATATTTTTCACTTTAAGTAAAACTTATACGAAAATACGAAACGTCGAAAAAATACATACTATCTCATAATAGTATCCCGACTCCACTAGGAACCCGCCTAAGGCCTAACCATCACTCATCTGTCATCGGTAAGACCTTCAACTTATTAAACATTATATACTTGAAGTCTTGATCACTTGGTTATATAGTTTATAATAATCGGATAATATGGTCGAAGAGTAGTTCATAGAGTAATAATAATAATTATTATTCTATAGAACATATGGTACGACAGCGCTCCCAGTGTTGATCTGGCCTCCCTTTTAATCAATTCTGATTTTATGTAAGAGTTTGTGACCACGGTAATGGTTAATGGTAAGCGACGCTGTTACTAACAAATCACCATTTTCTTTATTGTAAACAACATTTTGACTATAACAAAATAACGCATGTTTATAGATTTTGCTGTTTTTATTTGTTTCTTTTTTTTTTTTTTTTGGAATAGATAAAATAAAAACATTATACACTCATTGGATACTATTTTCGATCTAGCTTACCATGTTATATTTAGAAGATTATCTCGAAAGTAAGTAGAATATATACTATTTTCAATACCCAACATACCAATTCATGTCATTAACTTATTTTATCTGTTTCAAGATATCGAACACTTGCCACAAGAGATGAGAAATCGTTTCACAAAAATGAGGGAAATGGACTTACAAGTAGAAAGTATTTACTCTACTTAAATCTGTATGGTGTAAATGCAGCTTAGTTCCCGCTTGCCAATTTCAT